TGCGGGGAACTCTGCAAAAAACGCATCTTCGCACGGGCAGCCCGTGCGTTGGCCAATTATTAAGTTACGTAATGTCGCTTAGCCTTGGCACCAACAATGTAGTTATTGGCAACCTTTCCACACTTATCGCTATGATACATATGTACTCTAAGTCAGCCCGGACTATCAGTGTGGATGTCCTATATCAGTGATTGTTACCGGGATGTTCCCACATGGTGGGTCTAGCTGTGCCTGAGTTGCATACTTCTAGTTGGTACCTACTGCCTTTCGACACATGCGAGCGATTCCGGCAACGACTGTCCGAGTGGTCGCTTACTTTCTCGTGAGTACCACATGTCAATGTGCGACGCACGCCGGTTGTCGACAAGACGAACAACAAATTCTCATGTTCTCACGTGGTCGCAATGCATGTACAAATGCACCAAGGATAAAATAATTGCAAAGCATCTTATATTGTGCTTCTCAGTAACGCGTAAATTCCCTCTTTTTTGAGTGCTCCACATTCGATCCTCTTCCTTCGCTGATGGGATCACTAGTTTTTGGTGCTGTAGATACAGCTACAGTTCAAGAATCGGAGTTTGCAGACCTGTAACCTATCAAGGATGAGTACCAAATACGTAGTTGGTATAGCCTCCGCGGTGAGTGGACTGGTGATCCTCGGCAGCTTGGTGGTTGTTGGAGTGCTCATACACGATATCAGCAATCTCTATGATAATGTGATGGAAGGTATGGTGGAGTTCAAGTCGTTAGCTGATGATACGTGGAAAGAAATGATCCTCATCACTAATGGCCCGGTGAGCTACGTACACAACGAGGGAGATGAGTTCAGGTTTGTAAATTTCCCGTTTTCTTCTCTCTCAGGATTTACCTTCCAAAACACCTAGTTTACAAAAAATTTCGCATGGAATCGATTGTTGTTTTAAAATAATTCCCCATGAAGTCATCCGACAAAAACGGCCATCATTTTCCAAATATCGAAATAGACAAAGCTTGCAAGTCATAGGACCTAAACGTCTTAACCTCTGTTAAACCACTATTTCTTCGTATGGTTTCCAGTTTTTAATATTCCCAAATGTCCTTCGCAGTTATTCGATGTTTACTCCCTGGACAGCATATATAATTCTGCTTAAAATTAATAATTGATTTAGCTTCTAATATTAAAAAATTACCCACAGTTTTGAATCTTCCTTTATTCACATCATCCTTGATCAGTGAATTAATATTTTAAGTGCTTCTTCAGATGTACTAAATTCATAAATCTTTACGCATTTACATGAACATAAATGGCGATTAGTATTACCAGCTTTTTCAAATGTGTTAGTTTCGACAGTCTTTCATCTTTCCCTTGGTTGCACGGCTACTCCTATAATTTTTTTTTTTCCACATTCCAAAAAATTTCAGAACTATTTTTGGACGAACTAAGCGACGTGTGACCTCATGCAACTGTGGTGTACAACCAAGTCACTGCCCAGCCGGGCCACCAGGACCTCCCGGTGAGCCAGGCCAAGATGGTGAAGATGGGACACGCGGAGAACCCGGGAAGCCAGGGCTGGCTGGTGAAGTAACAGCATACGAAAATGCAGATGAAAACGGATGTATCAAATGTCCGGCTGGTGAGCCAGGTCCTGCTGGGCCGCCAGGACCGCCCGGGCCTCCGGGACCAGCCGGACCACCAGGCCCAGACGGTGCGGCCGCGGAAGCTGGACCACCAGGACCAGCTGGACCTCCTGGTGATGATGGACCAATGGGTTAGTTGCGATAAAGTTACAGAATTAACGCTTTAGCTTCTTGCCGTAATGGTTTTCGCGCAATTGCACAAGACGCTTCAAGGCTTTGTGTAAATATTTTCGAAGACCTAAAAAGCTAAAACTCTTCATATTTTAATGAGGCGGAAGCACTCGGGAAATAGCTCGGGAGTAGCCACTGTCAACATCAAATACTCGCTGAAAAGGCTACACTGTTTCCCTCTTTGGAGGATATTTTAAAAGCAAGCTGAATAGGGAGGGGAGTTTGACTTTTTGCCTATATTTTGTCACTAGTACTGGTTTTTA